GGGTGAAGCAAGCTTATGCTGAATGCCGCTTGGAGGCGTTCCGTTCTTCCAACCCGGCTGGCCAAGAGGGGGGGTTAAATGTAAAAAGGCCTTGTTGCAGGCCTTTCTGGGCGCAAAATCCAGCCGCAAAATCCAACGAATATCATCGATGTGTTGCCCCCTTCGTTCATAGCGGCTTTCCGCGATGTCTCGCCTGCGTGAGCTTGGTACCTGGTGCCCTTCTCAGTCCAAAGGCATTGCTTGGGTTGGCCACGAAATTTGGCAACCGATTTGGGGGGGAAGTTGTCCAATTTGGCAACAGATTTGTGGGTGGTATTGTTTAGATCTTCTTTTTTTTGAATTTGGCAGAGAGGACAGCTGTTGCGCTGGTGAACTCGCATTTTGAAGTCTTGAGGTTCTGGACCCTGGAAAGTATATCAAACTTACAGTCATATTGAGCAAGAGGCATGGATTATGTGACTGTTCATTGCTAATCTCAGAAATGCGGCGCCTCACCAGGGTGATCGTAGTTCGCTTTGGTGCACCTCCTGAAGATGCCTTTGGGCACGGTTTGTGGTTATTGGTGACGAAGCAAATCTAGCTATGCCAGTTGAGCCGGATCACACATGCCTGCAATGCTACCGACTCTTCAGCTTCCCTGGTGGTTTGGATTGGTTTGGGAATTGAACCCCTGGCCGCTGCAGAGGGTAAATGGGAAACCTCTTCAGGCAGCTGCCAACGCTCACGCGCGGGGACCTGGACCGGCGATGGAGTTGGATTTGTCTTTTGGTGCATCCCTTTTGCGACGACTGCCAAAGAAACACCAGAGGCGAACCCACTTTTGGTGTCCACTCCACATTTTGGAAGAGAGGTCAGCGCTGTGAGCGCTGAGTTCCGCGCTGCTTTCAGTTTCGGAAGCACCTTTTTGTGCTTATCTGGGGGTCACAGGTAGGTGAAAACGTACTTGTTTCCTCGGAACCTCGGTGAGGTGCATGCAATTGTCAGTCGCAGGAGGGTTCAGTTGGCAAGGGAAGGGGTTTCCACTATGAATGCTGTGTTATAACGAGTGGCAGGTTTGATTGAGGGATCAGGTTTCGGCTCAATTCATTTGTCGACTTGAAATATTATTATTTGCCCATCAACCTTTGGACCAGCAAACACGCCCCATGTATTACCTTCCAGGTTTGGCCATGGCTGTTAAGGCTAGGTATATGGGCACAGGCGTTGGTGGAAAGTCCAGATCTACATATTATGTTGCCAAACCCGTGTTGCAAAGGTAGGTAGGTTTCCCACATGGCCCTGGGTCAACACCAATGGTATCATTTTGGGGCAGGTGCACCACCCATCTTAGTCTATTTTAGTGGGGGTTGGGATGTTCACTGGGGGTACGGGGTTCTGACCCATAACCGCATGTCCTTTGCCTTGGAAGAGGCCAATCAAGGTCAGTCCATCTTGGCCAAATGGAGAGGCGAACTAAGGGCACTCATCCGCTTGGGGCTTTCTCGTATGTTGTTCCACCACTTGGTGGTTACTTCAAAAGCAAGACCAGATACCAATTGCATTGGGTATGGTGCGCTTTTGCAAACAAATGTCAGCACAACCCCGGCAAAGTGCGGCACGCTACAGTTCCCTTACTCGCCACGTTAAGTATGTTGATAGTCAATTGTAGGAAGCTGGCAGAGTACTAGGAACCCTGTTTCTGCCAAAATGTCATCTGGATGCCCTCTTGCATTTCGTCCACAACCCTGGGTTCCCAATCCCTCAAAATGGCACGTAAACCACATCCAGCCCGAAACCCCACTACACCCCTCCAGATTTTGCAATTTTGGGTAAACCACATCCAGGCACAAAAAGGAAAAACACAGGGATTTCCCTTGTTCCCACCAAAGCCAAACCACACATCCAACCACAAAAACCCACCCACCAAAACTCCCTTGTTCCCACCCAGCTTGAACGGCGCTTGTCCCATCCACCGCAAGACAATTTTGGGGCATTTTGCTTGGATGTTAGGACTCTAACTTTTTTTGCCAACTCATGGGTTTTCCATCAAACCACTGAAAGTGTTACGCTTTTAGCAGGGGAGCAGAAAGCCAGCGACATGTTTTTTCTCTTCGGCTCCCAGGCACAGCTCCAGAGCCAGGAGCGCAAGATCGAGCAGCTGCAGAAGGAAACGGCTTCGCGCAGCTGCGCTCGACTTTGCGGGGCGGTTTTTGTCCCGTGGGTTGGCGGCTCGCGTTTGGTTTGGTTTGGAGCCCTGCCAAAATGGGCTTCAGCTTTTTGCGTAATTATTTGGGTGGGCTGGTCAGTTGCAAAAATGTTGGGCCCGTGCCGACATGGCAAACTTCTTTTTTTTTTTTTTGGTTTAATCGTGTAAGGCAAGTTCCACGAAAAAGAAGGGTACCAAAATGCCAAGGGGTGCTCTTCCGCCCTCGGGGCCGCGGGTTTGGGTTACTGATAGGCCGCAAGAGCCACCGCCTAGTGACTGGGGCCGTGGGATCGCTTTCCCATGGCTCCGCGGTTCGGTCGAATTCATTGGATTCAGCCATGCTGACAGGTTACGCCCGGAAAGTCCATGGTACTGGGTGAATTATAGCGACCTCATACGACCTCACCCCAAATGGTGGTTTATGTGGGGAATAGCCCCCAACCACCTTATTTCAGGTTGGTGAAATTTTATGAGTTTGTTTGTGACGGCCAGACACATCAAAGAAACCCAGCCAGCGCCCGGGCTAAGAGGTTCGGCCACGTGAAATGTCCAGGGGGCAAGCGCGTGGCTCGGAGGTCCAAGCACCGTAAATGGCGCAGCCGTGGCTTCGCGAAGAGTCTGCCGGAACACGCGTTATCGTTAGTCCTCCCACGATTACGCAGGGAACTGTTGGGAAAGATATGCCATTTACTCTAAGATGTGCAACATGGAAGCCTGCCCCATTTCGCTAAGTTCCTATGCAAAGCAAAAGGAAGTGATCACGGTGCATCATCACTTCCAGAGTCCTGACTCAAGTTGTGGCAGGAAGGAGGTCCTAGCAACACTTTCAAATAGGAATCCGGGCATTTTTAAACATCAATGTCATTTAATGTTTGGGGTGGTCTCAAAGCCAGATCAAAAGGAACAACGACAACCACCATTTGGGTCCCCAACCCCTATTTTGACACATGCCCCTAGGATGCATGTTCACCGTAGCACGCGTGTGCGTGTGCAACATTTTGCGCGCCACAGGAGTTGGAGGACACGGGCCTTCTGAGGAAGGAGGCACCGCTCGAACTGGACTGGGAACACGCTCGGATATGTAGAAAGGAGCCCATCCAAGGAAGCTGATTTGGCGCCGAGCGCTTGAGGTCCAACGGGTCACGTAGTCTCTTTGCCCCTGCCGAGGCAATCCTAAGCATGGGATGTTTGGCAGCACGACTCCAAATGGTTGATTCCATCGAAATTCCTTTCCAAAAGGAGTTGGATAGGGGTCCTTTGTTTTAATTCCTCTCCCTGCATAAGAGGACGGGCAAGAGCCATTCCATGTGTGCTCAAGGTGGTCATGGCTGTGCGAGCTTTCAACTCAAAGTGCTTGCTGCCAGAGATTGGGCCCATGTTCTCAAATCATGGGTTTTGAGTTGGATCTTTTGCCGCTTGGCTGATGACTCGCGTTGTGCCGAGGAGCATGAGTTAGCAACTCGCATGCATCTTCCGCTTCCAAGAGCTCGTTTACTTATGATTGTGTGGGCTTTGCTTTTTGCATTTGCATGTTTGCTGCATGCACCAGCCTGCCTAGGCCCTCAACACGTTGCACTTCTCGATTTTGAAGCCAAAGGAATATTATTTGATTGGGTTCGGCCATTAGGTTAGATTATATTGGTGTACAGGGAGGCACGCAAATAGATAAGCTGAATGGCTAGATAGATAGACAAACAAATAGGGAGCCCAAGCCTACGTCAATTTGATTTGGGCTTAAGCAAGTAGCATAACTCATTTTTTCCTATCTACCTAATTCCAATCTTATCTAAATTGAATCGAATCAGCTCTCGCTATGTATATATATATATATCTCATGGCTAGCTGCTTTCTTATCGATCTATTATTCCTTCACTGCAACGGTGTGAAGCCATGTGACCAGCGGTCCCATGCTCCGGGTTGTGGGTGTTGCATCATGAGCAGGAGGATATCATTTCAGGCTTGTTGAACATGTTGAACGCTCCCTCCGGAAACTTGTTTGTTGGGGGCCGCTTCCAAGCCTTCTGAGGATGTGTCCCCTCGTTTTCTTGTGCGTTTCGTTACCTCCATGGGGTTTTCAAGCAGTTCAGACCATTTTGGTTGCACAGCATACGACTCAGGCGCAGAAGCGTGCCTGCGACCTCGAGGCGGAGAAAGGCCGCGCGAAGAAGGCCTGAGAAGGGGAGGGTATGATGGAAAACGGGCTCCTGAAGCGGAAAAGCGGTGTCTTGCGGACCTATCTGGATTCAGTTCTGGTGCCCAGAACCATGGTCTCCTTGTCAGTTCAACCCCAGAAGGTGCGGGGTCCAAACGGCATACCGGCATACCGGCATCCATTTTGGGGGCCCAGGGAAGCCTTCAGGGCTGGCCAAAATGATTGGCTTCGTGCTGGTTGCCCTTCACCCCGGTCGATTGTACCAGCCCCAGCCTTGTCTTGGCCCAGACGTGCACATGTTTGGGGCACGAGGTGATGGACCCTGGCCGAGGTCAGGCCGCGCCCAACCAATTCTCAAAGTCAAATTGCTCTTCGTGGGTTTGAGGGAACTGACTTCAATGCTGCCTAGAGTCAATCCAAACAATCTGCCACGAGGACGTGGCTCGGCGCAAGCCACGGATTGAATCGGAATGCAGCTTCCTTGGTTGGGAGTGGATTTCCTTCTGCCTTTGTGATCTTTGTGTGCTGCACTCCTGCGAACCATTAATGCAGCCGCTTGTGACAGCACGTGCGTTCACCAGTGGAGCCAGTTTAAGTGACCACGCCAATTCACCCACTTGGTTGTGCAGACTGTCAGCGTCGCCGGCTTTTTGGCTCGATCGGAGCCTGCGTCGTCCAGTGGTTGTCTCTCTTAGACCGACTCACAACGATGGCTGCTGCTGCCCCTCCCGCAGATGACGGCCGCAGCGTGTACGTGGGGGGCATGCCGCGGCATGCGGAATGGCAAGAGCTGAAGGACCATATGAGGCGCAGTGTGGGGGGAGGGGCGGGCGGCCTATCATGTTTCGTTTGGTTTGTTGTGGGTCGTGCTTGGGTTTTGCAGGGTTCGCGTGGGGAACTCGACTTTTGGAAAGCACCCGTTTCAGGGCAAAGCGACGTGTGCCCACAACGTAGCCAGACAGAAGAACTTGTGAGGGAGCCTTGTGACAGAGGTTGGGAATCTATTGGCTTTTACTCACGGCTGCTTCATGTTGAAGGCCAGGTTCAAGCTCGTACCGCACAGTCATCTCAGCAGATCAGTCCCTCAACAGCTTCGGACTCCAGCATAAGAGGCACAACCCATCAGGAGAGAGGCGGATGTCTTAGAGGTGAGGTTGTCCCTCGAGTGCGCAAAGAACATGTTGGCCCAATATATTTCCAAAGGTCAGAGCAATCAACCGCCATTTGTGTAGTATGTAGGCCCTGCACGTTTGGTGAAGCCAAACATTCCGTATCCTGCAAAGGGAACAACCAGTGGGATGCTTCGGCGCTGCATACAAGCTGCCGGATGCACCGGATGCTGTGGCGGTAGCGCCAGCGGAGTCGCGAGGTCTGCGGGGGAGATTGAGTTCTGCGATGTGCTCTACAGCGACTGGGGCGAGCCCAGGGGCGCCTGAGCTGATCTCGGGTGCTTTTTCGCGTGGGGAAAAGCGGGGGGGGGGGGGAAACGGGCCCCATGGAGAATGCGCGGGTCGCAAAAAAAAAACGCGGAGAAGGACACCCCCCTTTCCAAACAACTGAGAAAGAAAGGCAAACAAGAAAAGAAAGAGCCGCGAGTTGGGGGGGAAAGGCCTCGGTGGCCGGCTTTTGCAGGCTTTTCAATGCTTTCCGGCAGTTGGAGGGACTCCCCCCCAGTTCAGGAAACAACCATGGTGGTCCACAATCCAGAAAGGTGGACTCAGTGCAACACCGGGTGTCGATGGGCCCAGTACCAGATGCTTATTGATGTTGCCTGAGGTCTGGTTGAGAACCACCCTGCAGCGCTGTTGCAACACGCTTGCCAACCTACCAACATGGAGGCCAGTGGCATACCAAACTGTCCCTTGTCACTGTCCGGCTTCCAAGTTTTGCCAACCATTCTGGTCGCACAAGCAAGGAAGGGCATAGGTCCCTTTCGGAATTCAGTCGGCTTGCCAAAGTTCTTCCTTGCGTCACACCTCTGTGAGTGGCAGCCTCGCGTATGGGCATCTGGACCAGGTGATACGAAGGGTTTGCTTCCTTCCATTGACTTAAGCTCCGCCAGAAGGACGCATGGGTGTAGAGTAAGGTGGCTGGCATGTTGGTTTGGCAAATACCGCGCTCAACGCCTTTGATTTTTCGTGTTGGTTTGGAGGGGGGCGTGTGCCCTCAAGGACGTTCCCCACCGATTTTCTATGGTACAAGGGAAGTTGGTCTCATGGTAGGGCGTGGGATAGAAATGCAGTGACGACCGAAATAGCGTGGCAAACGGCATCAGCTACGATGCGCTTGGTAGAATTCGCACCATAAGGTTAACCCCAGTGACTCTGTACATGTCTGCTTGAAAAGGATTGCCAAAGGGAAGTCAGCCATTTTGAGGGTCCCTCATTTGAAGACATATTCTACTACAAATCAACATGGAAGTTTAAACGGGGTTCTCCACAAGGAGACCCCTTCTATCGACAGCGCTCTTTCCAAGTGAATCTGGAAGGGTGGAACCTGTCCACTGAATAAACCATTCTATGACTCCATGACTCTTTGGCTAATTGGTTGGATCTTTGGATCTGTGGACTTTTTGGGAAGCAGTGGATTTTGTTTGTTGGACCCACGCACACGAGGCACCCAAGCCGAGCCCTGCCGCATAGCACCCTAAGCGGCCGAGGCGTGGGCTTCGTGCGCTTCAAGACGGAGGCGGAGGCCCAGCAGGCCATCGCCACGCTGAACGAGACCACCATGGATGGACCGATGGCGGTCGACCACGAGCCAGTTGTGTGGGGCAGAGCAGGTTTGCAACGGCCAGTGGGGACCCTCACGATCCAGTTGCGGGGTTTTGCTGGGGCAAAAAGTGTGGGGGCAGGAGAGCAGCTTTGCAACGGCCAGTAAAGAAACCCTCGCCCTGGTGTCCTTACGGAATCCCCCAAGGCTTTGGGAGGGCTGTCGCTCGCTCTTTTCGGGGCAGCTGGCGCCACATGTTTGTGTTGGGAAGGCTTGGCCTTTAGGTTCGGAGTCTTCGTGGGGCTGTGATTTGTTTGCCTGGGTTTGTGGTTTGCAGCGCTTTGGGGTACTCTATCAGAGGGCATGATGGTCCTTGAATCATGGATCTTCGGTATGTACAGTACACACATACACGCACACACATATCACATATATACACATGTCGATAGGTTTATGGACATGTTAGATATATATATATATAATATATATATATATATATATATGTGTGGAGCACTTGGGGGGCGTGCAGGACGGACTGTGAAGGTGGCGCCTTGGACGGGCAGGCAGCCAAACTTCAACAGCCCCGGCAAGATGATGTACCAGATGTGGGCGCCTCGTCTTCCCTTTTGGTTCTCCGATGGTCGAGCTCGTAAAAGAGGCGAAAACACAACACGCTTCTTCACAAGGCCCCTGGATTGGAAATGCCTCGCATATTGTTTGCCACCTGTTCGGATGGATGTCAAGAACAGACATCACATGAAACCAGCTGAATCGTTGTTTATGTTGTTGGATGTTGTTGGTTGACCCATTTGCGGTTTCCAACCTTTCTTGGAGACAACCACCCCGTTTTGTCCGGAGGTTGCCCAGCACACCCAAGCAAAACGTCCATTCTGAGAATGGTGCACTCAGATGTGCACATTCCCAGAACGGCTTCCCAGGATGGCGCATCCATTTTGCGGCTCCAAAAACTGGGTCTCCAAGGCTGCTTTCCCTAGAAAAGACGAAATATAGGACAAACTGCTGCCGGACCAGGAGATGGCGCAGAGAGAGAGAGAGAGAAAAACTAACACAAAAAAAGTTGCTTTCCCTAGGGCCCTAGAGTAGACTAATTATATGACAAACTAGAAAAACAAACCCACAAAACCGGCACCCCGGTCCAAGAAAGAAAAAAAAAGCCGGCCGCCCGCCCCGTCGCAGGCGATTTCGCGGGCGCGATTTCGCTGTTCGCGTTTTCGTTTTCTCCCGAGCCGAGGCCTGGTACGGGGGCGCCAAGAAGAAGCCTCGAGACATGGACCCTGAGAAGTCCAAGCTGGTGGAGAGGACCCGCGGCGAGTTTTCTCGTTCATTGTTTTGTTTTTTCCCGCGAGAAGAGGAAGGTACCCCCCAAAAAATCTATGGGGTTTGGGAAAGCCCAAAAACATCCGTGGGGGTTTGGGAAAAGGCGGGGGAAGGTGTGCCCTGTTAAACAAGGTACAAGGTTTTTTAATAGATTCCGCCATGTTGGGGTCGTTTTTATTTGGTCGCATGACTCTCCCAAAGTAAGAAGGACCCGCCTCAACAAAAAGAAGCAAAGAGGGCTCCCTGTTTTGAGCAACCTCTCATTTGTTTGTAATTACCAAACAAGCAATACTTTTGGATTTGCCAACCAATGGCTGAAGCCACCCTTCTTTTAGCAGAACCGTGAGTTGGTGGTTGAGACACTTGCCCAACCCGGCTAAAGCCATCTACGATGTTCGTTGCATTTCGCCGATGTTTGGCTCGAACATTGGGGTGCAAACATCGCAGAAGTTGGCATTCTGGTCTCTGGTGGTCAACAGCGATTCAACCGCTTTTAAATTAAATTTCCCAACTGAAAGTGGCTTCGAACCCATCCACAATTTTAAAGCCGGGTTCCGGTTTATCTTCTTGTGGCCTACCGGAAGGCCTTTCTTTGACTCGAAACCGGCCGCAAGACGCAAGCCCTGGGCTCCTTGCCCTGAATGCTGCAGACGTTTGAACCAACAGATCCCTACCCCAAGGTGTGATTCGATTCTGAAGCTGGTCTGGACGCGTTATTCTGCAGGTAGAGCTGGGGCACGAAGCAAGTCCTGCGACTGTTTTGTCTTGGTTGTGATCCTTCTTGTTCAGTTTGGTACACCCTTCAGCTAAGGTGCCATGTTGATGGATCTGTGGGGTGCCGATTCGTAATCAGAGTGCTAAGTAACAGCAATCAAATATATGAGAGTTTCGGGTTCCCCCAAAAAGAAGCCACAAGTCGAACGCCCCATTTGCTGGTACAAAGGCAGGGCGATTGCTGCACGCAAATGGTGTTTTTTGCGCCGTTGCCCGGGCAGGATAAAGACTTACCAGAAGGGTGACGCGACCCAGAAAGAGACATGGTACTCTTTCTGCGGCGAGGCCGGGGCGACACCAACGCGCAGCTTACCAGTGTTCGGCGCTTCAGTTGCTCAAGCTGGAAAGTGTTTCTTAGGTGTTCGTCCGTAGCCTTTCTCCACTCTGCTTTCGCAGTGCCGCTCAACTTTCCTAGGCTTCCTGGCGATAGCCGAAGGCTTACCTTTTCTGACTAACAGGCAATATACAAGTAAGCATAGAGGGCATGGACGAAGATTGCAGCGAAAAGGAATATCATCGACTTTGATGAGCCCTTGACTTGAGTCGGCTTCGTGACCTTCGACCACATGACCCATGACCATTGACTATCACCCACGAAGTGTTGACTATGGCGGAGATGTCAGCTCTCACCACTCCAGATCCTCTTTGAAACGGACTCGCCAACAAAACGGCATGCTCAGCTCTGATCAAATGAATACGCCCTTCTACACCATGGAACCTTTTGGCTGATCGATGCAAGCAGTTTGGTTGCGTTCACTTGGCGTGACTATTTGAACATGGGTCGGTAGGGTATAGTGTTGTTTCTTTCTTTTTTGTTGGTTGCTGTTTTTACGGCAAGTGGTTAGGACTTCAGCAACCACGCGTTTACAAAGCCAGTATACGCAACATATATTTAGAACATGTGTTCCTGTGTTCTTTTATGCACACATTTCGCACGGCATTTCTTCTTTTGTTCTTCGTTTTTTAGTGAAGAGACGGATCATCTTGTCTTGTTTCTCAATGTGACGCAGCTTCACAGACTACGTGATCTGGAAATGTTGGTTTGCCTTTCACCTCTTCATGCGATCCCTTTTGTGTTGCTTAGTGAAATAAGCCAACGCCCTTCAAGAAGCAATGCACTGTGATTGTGCCGTTTTGGGTCCTCTTCATGCCGCGATCTACTGGATGCATCCCTTTTGGGACAGGGATCCAGGGCCTGCTTCGCCCGGCAAAGGTTAACGGCTTGGGGTGCATGAAGGGTCCTTCTTTGGGGGGTCTACTTCATATTTCAGGTGGGTGGAGCATACTGGTGGGCGATGCGACCAGGTTTACTGGTCTTTCTGTATTGCTGATGTGGCATTGGTGGCTTTTCCTGGCTTCTGATGTTGCAAGGCATAGTCGGCAAGTCATACCAATTCTACACCACTAGCCTCACCAGCACCACCACTAGCATCACCACGAAGACTAGTTTGGGCTGCCCTCAAAGGACACCAATGCAACAACTTCGGGGAGCATTAAAAACGCCATCCTGGCAGCTGAAACAGCAGCCCTACCCCAAACCAGCACCTGCGTGTAAACAGCGCCCAGCCCTGATGTTGTTGGTGTTGGTGATGCTGGTGCTGCTGCCTAACATGTGCTCCCTAAAGCAACCCCAAACTTGAACTGACAAGCCGGTAGCCATCAGCTCGCTGGTCATGATGGTACGATTGCCCCTAAGGAAAACCAGCGAGCGAGAAGCAGCGATGCTAAATAAATTGGACATTCTGCAACCGGCTAATTATAGCTTTACCACTTTGGAGCTGGCGTTTCAGTTGTCTCTTCCTTGGAGGTCAAGGACCCGGCGCGCCACGAGACGGCGAAGCTGCAGGAGTTTGTGACCACTTACAGCGTGCCATAAGCTGCCGCGTGTCACCCGCTCACCTCGCTCCGAGCCTCGCCCCTCGTGTCACCCCTCCGCCAGATGTGTAGATCGGCGTGTACTGAGCACTCTGAGGGGTTTTGACATCGAAACAAATGATCGGAGACTTTGAATGAGTTGGCCAGTGCACAAGCTATTCGCAAGGCGGCATAAAGGGGATGTGCTGGCTCGCTCGGAGCGACTGCAAGCTTTGGACTCGGGCGTTGCGTCTCAAGTTTTGTGCGCTATCATTGCACAGGAAAAAGGCTGGCCAGGGGCTGGATTGGCTGTGGGGCATACGGTGGTGAAGGATGGGTTTTTTAGAGCCAAGTCTTCAGAGCGTCACAGGTATGGACCATGTTGGCATGAGGCAGAGAAAAATTGCGTTTCGTGCGTCCGGAGCCATGGCCATGGGTACTTTGCAGTGGGATTTGGATGGGCCGAGACTGACTGAAGCGGGTGCTCCTCAGCTTGGGGCGAGCGATAGGAACTCAGTTTCTGCATGAATTGGGCAGAAAGCCGGCCGGGCAGTTGCTGAGTATCCTTCATTTGGGTATGGGTCAAAATCAAACCACCATGCCTTGGGTCAGTTTGAACTATCCTGTGTTCGCTTGGATGTTGTTCAAGCGCTGCTCCTAGTGTTTTATAAGCTTTTATGTTGTGTTGCCGCTTGCGGCCGCACGTGCCCAGTACCTGGGCTTAATACTTGCTGCCTCGTTCAGGTTTCCCTTCATCTATTGAGTCATAGTTGCAATTTCCTGCGTTGCGACATGTTGATTCATTCACCCAGAGAACCTTTTGGAACCTTTGGAGGGCAGCCTATGCGAGCGGCATCATCGAATGTGCGCTGAGACTTCCCTTTCACCAATACCCCTACCGTGCTTCTTTCATTGCTGCTTTTCGCAACGGGTCACTGTCGTGCTTGGACCATGTGTTCCAGCCATCAAACATTTAATCGCTTCCCCCTATGAACAAATGCACAGCAATCGTTTTTCCCAGAACCCCGGAGCCCGAATGCTACTTTTGGAATATGCCGATTCGAAACCAATACTAATCCTGCCGATTTCGCGCCAATGCAGCCACCTGTTCTGTTGGGGAGTATTCCAGCACATGTTTGAAAATTATATATTCATAATACTTACCTTTAATTACTACTGTATTTCCACTGAAATTGTGTCTTGTACTTTTCAACCGCAAGAACAAACAAACTACCTTGAACGGTTTTACTTAACGTCGTTACTCGGAATTGAATGGTCGCAACCTTCCTGTGTATAGTTCTTGCCTCTTTGCTTTCAGCCTGTCACATAATAAACCTCAGCACCCGCATGCTGGCTTCTCGGCTCGAGTCCATGTTCCGTACAGCTGTGTTCAACTGTCCGGCGTTTTGTGCTTCGTATGGCGGAGCCGGGATCCTCAGATCCATCCTCGGACCCATCCTGGGGCAAGGTCGTGCTGGATGGGTGTTGCCTCTACGTGGCGGGGGTTCCTAAAGATGCCGAGTGGCAAGAGCTCAAGGATCACATGAGGCGCGCAATGGGCGCGAAAGCCGTGGAAAAAGGGTGGGAAGATGGCCGGAACAAGCCTGAAAGATGAAAGAGGGGCAAGGATGAGACGCAAACACTCCACGAAGCATCCGATGAAACATCTCGTTTTTGGGGCCCTAGCCCTGAGCAGCAAGCAGTATCAGGAAGGATCAGGAAGGCGCCCAATGACCGACAGAATCAACCATGGCAAGCTGATTTCTTTCCCGGGGCGTTTGGCTTGGAGTTAATTAGGGCTGACGCTTGGATCCTGACATTGCATTGGCCGGACACGTTTTGGAAGACCTGCTTTCAAATTCACGTCTTCCTTCACATTTGTTTTGGTGGGAAGCCATGCTGTAGCATGCAGCGCCTCGTTCCAAGTCCGGAAGCGTTGCAGTTTTGTGTAGCAGGGTTCGGATTCCGGAGTTGACTTTTGCGTGTGACAAGTTGAAGGTATGTTTCAACCGATGGCGTCCCTTCGGGATTCGGATCCGCGCGTCCGTCCGGCCTGCCAGGCAAGCCGGGGAGGTGGAGTACTGTGAGCTTCTCTACTCAGACTGGGGGCAGCCTCGGGGGATCGGCTTCGTGCGCTTCAAGACCGAGGAGGAACGCGGGAACTCGGTCTTCGAGCCGCGGTCGGGGAGGGGTGGCGGGGGGGGGGGGTGGGGGGTGGTTTTGCAAATTTTGGCAGGGGGGAGGGCCGGGTGGGGGGTGGGGGGGATTGGGGTGTTGGAAGTTTTGGGGGGCTGGGAGGTAAAGGGGGGGGGGAAGGGGGAGCTTGGGCGGTTGAAGGCGTGGGGTGTTGGGAGGTTTGGGGGGTTGGGAGGTATATACTCAAGTGGGCTGACAAAACAACCCCGCGCTTTTTCGTTATGTAAGCGGCCGTCCCTTAACTTGTTTCGCAGGCCAAAACCATTGTAAACCGAGACAGAGGGAAAAAAAAAAAAAAAAAAAAAAAACGATACCCCCAGAAGCCATGAAGACACACATCAGGTCCTAGTTGTTGTCGCAAACCAAGATTGCGGAATCATGAATTTGCAGGGCCCAAACCGATACCCAAACCGATACCCAACCGATACCCAACTCATTGGCCGCCATGCCGAATCCAACCAGCTGCCCTGCAGCCTTCTCTGGAGCTGCCAACATGTACTTTGTGTACTACATTTGTACTGAAAAGTTGCGACTTCCGCTGTGGAGCTTCCAAAATGTACTTCGTATACTACACCATACTACACTTGCTTGCACTGAAAAGCTGCGACTTTCGAGCCGGAGCTGCCAAAGTGTACTGCGCATACTACTAAAAAGTTGCTACTTTCCAGCTGGAGCTGCCAAAATGTACTTTGTGTACTACACTTGTACTGAAAAGTTGCGACTTTCCAGCTGGAGCTGGGAGCTGGCAGAGTGTACTTCGCATACCACACTTGTACGGGAAAGTCGCGACTTTCGAGCCAGAGCTGCCAAAACACTGCAAACCGATGCAGAGGAAAAACAACCGATACTGACCGAGACTGAGGCATAAGGATACAAGGGTTGTCCACGGGGTTTTTTTTCAACCCAAGTGTAGCAGCCTTGTCGACAGCAGCGTCCGAAGCCTTCATTGGCATTTCGGCTTTCCAGTCAAGCACGCAACTTTCTCATGTCACAGGCCCGCTGCCAGAGCAAGCATCTTGCTTTGGCTTAAGGCTTGCATGAAACTGGGTTGTGCGTCAGTGACTCTGTTTGCCTCTGGTTCCCTTTGCAGTGGGACCTTCCGCTTTCTTTCCACGTTAGCTAGGCTATCACCCGCATTTTGCATTTGTAGTGGATGGCGATTTTGCCTACGGAGGCCTGTGTACGTGTTCGCTTGGGGCCAGCCGGACTTCCTAAGCTTTCACCATCGGCAGAAAGCTGATCCGCCAACGGGGCGCATCAGCCTGATCCATTAATTCGTAGACCCCCGGGTCCTTGTCAGGTATGGACAAGGCGTTTTTCTCCTCCCCAGGCCCCTGTTGCAACCAAAAGCGGCGATCAAGACTCATGCGAATGACTTCGCCGGAGACTTCGCCTCATTTCCTGGGTGAGCTGTGAGTTGTGAGCTTCAACTCGCGGTTATCATTTTGTCGAGGGCTGGGGAGAAGGAGGGGAGGGAGGGATCCCAAATAAGCCCTTAAGGCCTTATTTTGGCTCCTCACATCCCCCCAGCCCCCGTTTGTCGCAACTCGAACTTCAGCTTTGCTTCTCGTGGCACAGCCCTTCAGGATGCCCAGAATGCCATTGCCACGATGAACGGGACATGCATGGGCGGAGGTCACTCGGCCCGGAAAGCTCCCTTAACCCTTTGTGAACCCCGAGTAACAAACAAATGCAGGTTTCACTAATTGGTTTTAGATCCCTATTTTTTGGGGAAACGCGCCGCTTCTGAATCCACCAGGTTGGAGGTTGATCCAGGCTGATTAATCCAATGCATGCCCACATTACCCTCTTGCAATATTTTTCGCTCTAGGATATTGTTGGCAAGAGGGTGACTCTTTTCGGGTTTTGCAGTATTTGGGCGGCAAGCAGTGAAAGCCCCCCCCCCCAGGTGTCATTCATCTTGCCGAACCTAGCTTTCCACAAGGCGAAAAAGGAACCAGGTGTCACGCTCTTACCCCGCATTGCTTCGGGGTGAACTTGCTAACGCTTTGGAGGCGTGATCGGTATCATTGGCCCTACGCTTTGGTTGCATTCACTAGGACCTTAAGGCGTTTGCGTTTGGTGCACCCACCTGGGTGCATTCTGCGAAGGAAGTTGAAGCCATGCTCTGCCAAGGGAGGGAAGGCGGCACGGGCAATGCGCCTTGCAAGTTGAATGTTATATTCCAGCAGGAGGTTGTAAAGGCACAGTTCACGGGTGGAGTGTGGCAACCCCCACGTCCCTGTACCCACCACTGTTTCAGCTTCACATTGGCCATTTTTGAGGGTGAAGTAAGGCTCACCATGCGACCTCAACGTTTTTGGTTTTTTTTGCCTGGGTTGGTAAGTGTTCACTTGTTTCTTGGCAGCTTTGGCCTTGGTAAAGGCAGGCACTTGGCATTTCCGTCCGCCCGGCCTGAGGGAAATGCCTCAAAGTTGAACCATGGACCGGCCGGAAGCCCTCTGCAAACAGCCCCGGAAAGATTATGTACCAGATGTGGACGGTCTACAACAAGATGCTCGGCCTGCGTGGGATGGCGGGGGCTCAAGAAAGCTTGCTGCACTTGCTGAGACTCTTTCCATTTGGGATCCGGCTGGCTTCTGGGGCCTCAGAAATACTTCCAACCTCTCGACTATGTGTGGCTGCGTTCATGGCGCTCATGGTATTTTACCCTGTTGAACTTGTGTGCTGAACAGGCAAGCAGGTGAAACTTTTGGAAGGTGAGGTGCAAAGTGCACCCCCGCAAGCAAGCTTTCAGGGCATGGCTCCACGCGGACAACCCTTCCGTCTTGTTCGCTTGTCATAGGCGAACGGTTTCCAGGTCCCCATCAAACCACCGAAATGGCCATTCTGCACTTGAAGCTTAGCCTCCGACATCCGATCCCCAGCCCGGCCTCCTCGAGTCTTCTAGGGCACCCCGATGCAGCTGCGCCCCCCCCCCCCCCCCCTGTTTGTGCTTGCCGGGCCCAGCTTTCGCAGCTCTGGCGATGCACGGTCAGAACCTGCGGAAAAGCTCAAGCCGAGAGTTTGCTTCAGATCCAGGTCCACTTCAGCGATCAGCGTCCCTTTGCTTTCGACCATTTTCGCCCACTTCGAAATTGGGAAAGTCTTGCTTCGCACTTGGCTGCACCATCGCCAAGTTTTGACTCAGTTAGCTCAAGGAGTTGGGATTCGTTCTTCTTGACTCCACACTTAAGGCGATTGAGCGCTGTCAAGGAGCCCCGGTTTAGGGGTTGCCTGTTGGCCTGTTGTCCCTGTTTGCATTGCCTCAAATTCGAGTGACCCCCCTAGCCCTTTCCCTTTCCGTTTCAAGGGGAACAGCGCCCCAGAGCTGAGTGTCCAACGCTCATTTCCCGGGAGGACATGAATGGAAAGCATCCATTTCGGTTGCAGTTGCCCACCCGGCTTTTACCTTGGCACTGGAAATTCGACGTCCGCACCCTGAATCGTCATTGGATTTTCTGGTCCCCTCATGGTTTTTTGCGTAATCTGTCGCCAGTTTCTAGGTGTGCTCAAAGTCCGAAAGTGTGGTTGTCACGGGATATTGGGGCTCACAGTACGGGCTATGCCTTTATGACATCTTCTAAGAATCAAAAGGTCCACTGGGCTAGGACTCTCACATCTGCAAGGAAGAAGCAGCGAAATTTGGATCCCGAGAAGGCGCAGCTGGTGGAGCGCATCAAGTCTTTCCAACGCGCCGCCACCACCCAAAAGGAGACTTGGTATTCCTTCTGCGGGGATGTGAAGGACCGGGGAGGGGCAAGGTTTAAACAACTAAGCCTTCTCTCATTTAAAGGGCAACCAACAGGTGGTTTGAACAGCGCTGCTTTGGGCATTGATCCTGGCCCAATTCTAGTGAAGTCTTCGGGCCGTCGGCTTCCGTGCCTATCGCTGGGCAAAAGGCAAAAGGCGAGAGGGAGAAGAGCAGAACAGAGACAGGGAGATTCTGTGCGTTTGAAAGTGACCAAAAAGACACTTTCAGGGCTCCTCAAGTTTGAGAATGCAAATGTGGCAAACCCGGTTGCCTGCCGCTAGCGGGAGAGTCAAATTGAGCAAATCGGCCCTGGAACAAAACACCATGCATCAACTGCCCCCCCCCAAAAAAAATCACACACACACACAAAGACTTGTCATGAAGTGTCGCCTGATCTTGACTCGATGGATGCGCTGGGATAAGTGCTATCATGAACTCACATGAGTTCTCCCATATCCTGGCATGATTGAACGGAAGTGAATTGGCCTAAAGGCTTGTTTTGTCTCCCACGACCGTCTTTAATTGGATGATTCAGGCGACACAGGTCAAAACCACGCAGAAGGGCACCTAGCTGTGGCCTGTTGGGCAAGCCAAACCAAAGGGACAACCTTCTTTCAGAGCACTTACTTCGAAGGAGCTGGTGACAGAGGGTATCAGCAACTTTTGCCGTTTGTCTTACCGAGTATTGCCAAGCATTCTCCTCACTCAACCTGTCTGGGTTGCTCAAGAGCAATCCTCAATCCTGGCAGGTGAGGTCGTTTGCCTTGTGGCGTGGTGCTGTTTTTGTCCCAGGACCCCGCGCGTCATGAGAAAGCCAAGCTGCAGGAGTTTGTGGCCATGTGCAATATGCCCTAGTGCTTCGGATGGCCCCGTCCGCGTCGGCGCGTCGGCGACCGGTGTTTGAGCCCACTAGAGGTTTATTGCCTTTTTCCTAGGCCTAAAATTCCAATCCTGGCGGCCAAGCTACTGAGCACAAGTGGTTTTGGCGCCCTTTTTGCGACAAGGATGCAGCCCGAGCTTCCGCCATAAGGTGTAATTCGAAGAGAGCTTGGCTTTCCAGCTGTCGGGATGCCGTCGGGCACGCCCGGCCGCTGGCTTTTAGAGCACTAGGAAGAATCGACCCGTTCTTTCGGAAAATTAAGTGGCCTGGTGCTTGAGCAACTTTTTCAAAGGGCAGCCGAAGGCGTGTTGCCCGCTGCCATCGAGGCAAACAAGTCCGTGCCGTGGGAAAGAAGAAGAATTGGCTCGCCGACCTTCGCTTGACGGGTGTGAGCAGCCCTTGCCGCATTGTCTTAGGGAGGGGGGCTCTCTCCTGCGGTTGGCAAGCAAACCTGGAAATCTAAAGCACACCGGGACCATTTCCCAATCGAGACTCATTACAACCTCCCTTTGGCCTCGCTTTAGAACCACCCATGATCCGAATAGGGGCCCCTCAATTCCCCTCCTTCCAATCATGGAAGTAATCCAGCCATTTAAGATGATGGTCTTCCTGGACTCCCATATTTTTTCTGTTCGATGTAGGTCAGTTGTGTTGACATTAATGGATTCCATTGGTTGTCATTGGCTTCAGGCTGCTCAATTGGTAGTGCCACTTATCTGGACTCAGTTGTTCAGTGGCACCCTTTTTCCTTTTTGTTTCTTGGTGGCACCCCCACTTCAAACGGTCTTCCCCAAACAGGGTTCCCTTTTTTCCCAGGGTCACTGAACAACCGCGTCTGGAGTCTGACTTCCAAACGGCCACCTTTGCTCCACGTGATACGTAGAGTGTGGCGTCGGGGCGAGTTTCGGGTAGGCGCTCTACGAGAAGGAGCAGCAGAGTGCGGCGCTGCAGAGGAGCCTGGCGCTGGCCAAGGTGGTCTGAGTGTTGGGTCTCGAGGTGCCAGGGGCCGTTTCTGTTACCGTTCCTTTTTTGGGGAGGGTTCCCTACTAAAATAGACTACAGAAAAAGGGTATTATTCTCAGCTCTCTACTGAAAAAACAACAAACAACAACGATTCTGCTCATTCTTAGTAGGGGCTGCAAACGTCAAAGTCCCCAGCTTAGTTGTTCACAGCGAATCGACCTTTTCCCCCTTGAGCTTCCCCGTTTTGGTCCAGTTTTGGTCATGGCTCCAAAAGGTTCACCTTTGTTTTCTGGGTCCTTTGGGCAGCTGAGCCAATACCCACCTGTCGCTTTGGGATTTCAAGTTTCAGCATCCATGTTGCGCCCGGGCCCATGGGTACGATGCTTCGGGAACGGGTCATCCAAGCTCGGTAGGCTTCCGTGTGAGCGTGGCAGGCCCAATGACCTCAGGGCCAGGCTTCGATGGAAACTCCACTCACCCGGGACCCGGTTATGCCGTAGCTGCTATGCGTTTGGTACGTTAAAGGCCCATTCCCCCCCCTGGAGATAGTGACTCACTGCACCTTGGGCTGAGGTTTCAGGGCCGGGGTGGGCTGAGTTCCTTCAAGCAGGGTGTTGGACTTGTGCATTTGTCAACTTTATGCAAATACGTCTACGGTATGTGCATTCAATTTTTCGCAAATTCATTTTAGGGATGTGCGCAAATTCGTACGTGTACATCCCAATGTTCACACAGGCCTCTCATGTGCAAACGTGTGTTACATGCATACATGCTTGCAAAGGCTAACATGCCATTGCCATTGGCGTTGCCACTGCCGTACCATTGCCACACCACACATGCAGAATGCAAGTGCACTACGCGTTTTTGTTTGTCGCATCCAGTTTGTTTCCATACAAGTTGCTGCTGCACAGCGCGCGCCTTGGCCCAACGCCTGCTTGGCTCGAGCGACCGAGCGAGGGCCTTTGCTTCCCGGGGACTTGCTCATTTCAGCCACCTGATGCAGCACAGGACAAGCTCAGACCACGCAGCCCCAAACCAGAGCACAGAGAGTTCAAATCATATTTGTTTAGCAGCAACAGCGACGAGGACAAGAAACCAGGCGAAAACAGGCCAAGCCATGACGGGCTGTCAATACCCTCACAGATTTGCAGTCTGTGACTTAAGGCAAGAATCGACACATTTGTGACAATTCGGCTGTCCGATCTGCTTGAACATATGTAGCTTCGACTGGATTCAGTTTCGCTCCAATCATTTAACATTGCCATCCATTTTCCCAAGTCTCCAACAGCCGTGGAAACGAAGCTCAACGGAAGGGGGAGCATCCATTGTCCATACCACCCAAGGCCCCCCTGACACAAGCTGCACATGCGCTTTTTGCATGTCCTCTTCGGCTTGTTGGGGCTCAGGCGGGCGGGCCCGAGAGACAGCTTCGAAAATCAGGGGCTCAGATGGCCCAGGTTTCGTGTCGCGAAGCTACGGCTCCTCTAGGAATGGTTCTCATTCTCCAGCCCCAGTGGGAGACTCCTTTGGCTTCAGGGTTCCTATTGGATGTCGGCGAGTAGGCGAATTCAGTTGGGGTGATGTTTGATCGGAAATCTGCGCAACCTTGTTAGCCGTGAAACCTAGTTGGGCAAACGAAAAGTGATCTACCGAAAGGCGGCTTGCGGCATCACACACGACACAGGAGGACAATGCACGGTGAAGTCTTATAATCCATCCAGACCTGTCATTGGCTGTTTGAACGTGAACCGTGTTGTGTTTTTTCTCCCTTTGGCCAGCCACAAGCTGTGCCTGTTTGGAGGGGGTCTGAGTCCCGAAACGGAGCGCGCAATACCCAAGCAGAGGCCTTGACTTGGTTCGCAGCTGGCTCGAGGTTTGACTGACTTTATCCCTGCCGCACAGGCTGCACACGCACACCCGCACTTGGGTATGTGCCAGAATTGGGGCACCCCAAAAACATGTGGTTTTCCTTTGAGCCAACTTGCAAAGGGAATTCCCAAAATGCATCTACACTGACATCCGCGGCGTCGGGTTTCTGACGGCACTGGCGGGTCTAAATCCAAGGCCGCCCCGGTCAGCTTGCCATCGACATTGGTTCAACGTTAGTGGCCGAGCGCCCCAGACGGCATTTCGGCATGTCCGGCTTCGTGCTCTCAAACATAGGCTCCGGCCGCCCCTCAAGCAAGCATACAGCCTGATAGACCGGGGCTCACAGTTGCCTGTGACCTGCTGACGACAGCATGGCGGTGTCAGCCGGCAGCACGCTGTCACCTGGAATGGCGCAGCTTGACTGACATGGCGCCAAGGGTTTGGGCTATACAGACCATTGGCCACAAGCCAAGTGGATGGGAGTTTAGGGTTGCGAGCATCCCTCAGTTATCGCTTAGATTCACCGGCATGATCTTAGAGCGCATCAGCAGCAAGTGTTTGAAGGGAGTTGGGTGGGAGCATGCCGAATCCGCGCCCGGAACGCGCAATGCATGGCAGGACTTGTGTGGGGCGCCAGGTTAGTGGCTGCTGCTTTTCGCAAACCCATCAAAACTCTACATCGATCGCAAGCAGGATGTGGCTTGGCTTTCAATCTGTGCCAAGTCTTTTCACCCAGGGACGAAACGAGTTGCTCACAAGCAGCTTGGAAACTTGTGGCACGCTTCTATTGAACATGTCCAAAAGACTCTAGCACGGAGTGCACCATTCACGTCACCAGGAGGCTGGGAAGCATAGAGGCATACTTTGCAGGCCGAGGAAAAACGGAGAGGAAGCTCTCAAATTGCCAACTTCAGCAGGCAATTATTGCCCAAATTATCAAGCAGATTGCCGATACGAGTTTCTGGGTATGAAGGCTTGCAAAGCGTCCGTATATATATATATATAGATATGTGTGCGTGTGTGTCTTCTTTTTGTGTTGAACATGGCCAAAAGAGCTTCCCTTGCCGATGTTTTTACGGGAAACACAGATAACCCTGCTTGCAGATACCCTCCCCGTATGTGCAAGAGTGTCAACCATGCGCATTTGGGCGTTTATTCGCCCAACAGAAGCAGAGAACAGCAGCTGGGTGCGTTTGGTTTCTTCAGCGCAGGTGCCCCAAGCTCCAAGCAGCCAATCCCAATCACCTCGAGGGAAGCTGATCGCCTTCCGAGGGTCGTCGCCATCCTCAAGGGCCGCGGCCTCGGCTTGAGACAGTGACCCCTTGGGCCAATGGGCATCGGGGCGGCCCACGGCTATCCAGCCAAACGTCTTAGCGGAGTGAGATTTCCCCAACCATGATTGAATCACCAAATTGCCCAACTGCGGTTGCAGATCCAGCAACTTGAGTCACAATGAAACCTGGTATGAAATCGGCCCTGCCCAAATCATGCAACTAGAGAATAGGACGGGCGGGAAATGGCGGGGATATCCGAACCTATTCGGTCCCAGCTTGCCTGGGCTGTTTGTGATAGTCAACCTAAGCACGGAACCTTATGGAAGGGGGTCGGAACATATAAAGAACCTCAGGCAGCCCCAGCCTTTGCAAGGACCATGCAAGGACCCCCCCCTGAAGCATGGACCCCTCCCCCGAAAATAAAAATTAAAAACGCCTTCCCGAAAGTTGCTATGTTCATTTGCAGGGCACCACATACATGCTTGGCACATTGGCCCAGGCCCCCCATGAGATACAACGAAGTGAGGTGGAAGCCCTAAATACCGCAAGTGCGCGCTTCTATGGGCAACGCCCGCTGTGTGCGGACCCCTCTCCCCCAGTTACACTCTTGAAGCCAAGGGCGTTACCCCGCTTCCGAGGCCCAACGTATTGCAAGTTCAACATTGTATCGGGGGAGGGGGGTTTTTCTTCTCTGCACTTCCAACATTTAGGACTTCAACCCCAGAGAGGTGTCATGGTGCAACCCCCTTCCTGTTTGGGCCAGTAGTCCCCAATGGCGAACTTCTCTCTTTCCATTTGTGCTGTAGATGTTTGTTTGGGATAATTCATCTTGCAAAGCCTGGCAATCGGTTGCCACAACGTGTGCGGCCTTGCTTCATACCTTGAAGCAGCTTTTCGTGATTGTTTAGGTCAAGTGCCAATCAATAGGATGGCTGTCTCAGCTGCAGCGCCAAGAACTATTGGGTCTAGTGCAGTTGGTTTCGTTTGCAAGGCCCAGTGCCGAAACCCAATCAGCCCTGGCCCTTGCCAGCCGAGTGCCAGTCCAATCGGATTGAGGTTCGTAGTAATATGGCGAGCTGACGATTGCAATGCATTTCCCGGTCGCCCATGCAGGGAATGCCACAGCAGGTGAAGTTTTCAGAGGCCTCCGGGTCTGCTTTGACCAGATGAAGACCACCCGAAAACCGCAAAAAACCTATTTTGGGTAGGTGGCTCTACCTGGTTGCAGTCAGCCCTATGTACACCTTTTCCACCTTGCCACACCGTTTTTTCTCCTCGGACGCTTGGCAGGTCTCGTGTTGCCGAGGCATGCTGGGAGCAGGGGTCATGAGTTTGCCCTATGTCTTCGGCAAGGTGGGCCTCGCCCTTGCAGTTCCCGGCCACGCAGACGCAAGCAAATGGGTGAGTCTTTTTTAAAGTTCGGGACCCCCCAACAAGGTCATTTCTTTTAGAAACCCTTTAAATCCACGTGTTTTTTGGTTGAAAGTTGTTTCGGCCCCCCTTTGGAGGGAGCACCACCCTATAGGATCAAAGGTGAATGGTTGGACTCAAACTTGGATTGTTTTGGGTTTTGCCAGCATGTCCATGCGTCCACCCCCTGCAATAGTGGAATTAGGAGACCCCTGGAAGATGGCATCCAGTTCATAGTTCCATGTTTTTGTTTTTTTTTTGGGAAGACTCGAACACGGAACTGGGGAGGGTCCCAGCACAACTGACCAGAAGCAAGCCCTGCTATTGACACGGGTGTATTGGGTCCCAGCGACGGGTCCCGGATGTTCTTGAATGAGTTTGGGCAGGCCTTCTGAAAGAATCTGGTCACTGGTTTCCTGTTCCGACCGGTTTGACCTTAAAAGGTGCTTTCCGGGCTCCGCGCTTCCCGTTTGCCCAGCGGCGATCCCTACGACGCTTTCTACGTCTTACAAGTTGGCTTACAAGTTGGCAACTTCACAAACATATTTTGCTTGGTCGCATTTGATTGGACATGTCCAGTGCAGGGTTGTCCCTGCAAAACAGCCAACTGGGAGCTGACGTATGCATGCCGTCCTCAGATATCCTCAGCGCATTTCTCATTCAGGGGAAGTGCACGTTGAACCTTGCCTGATCCAACTCTGATCTCATACCCCATTTGCAGAGCCCGGGGACAACATGGGCTGCATACTGCGTGACCTGTGCAGAAGAGGGCCAGAGTAGACCACCTTGCACTTGGATTCCTTTGGAAGGATGTGAACAGCTGGTGCGTGTGCCCCCGTGGTGGCTTTTGAGAAGGCTAACACGACGTCAGGGAGATGTTACTACATTTCAGATACTATCATCCGTCCCAACATTTTGATATGCGCGACAAACAGGCTCGTGCTGCTAAACTGAACATGCACGCACCAGACAGGTTTGCTTGTTTAGCTGTGGGTCAAAACCAATGGTACCATTTTGGGGTAGGATTTTAGTGGTTGGATTGCGATGTTCACTTGGGGTACGATTTGGGTTTGGAGGGGTATTTACTTTATAGGTTGTTGTTTCCGTGTTTTTGTTTCTTTGATTTTATTTCGCTTTTGGCTTCTTGGCTTTTGGGCTTCTTGGCTTTTCGGCTTCTTGGCTTTTTGGCTTCTCGGCTTCTGAGCTTTTGTTGGTTAATGCGGCTTTTGGTTGCTTTTTGGCTTTCGCTTTTCGCATCCTGGCTTTTGCACCCTTTCATTGGTTTTTGGATTTGGCTTCCCGCATCATGAGCATCAACAGTTCCTCCCCATTTTAATCATCACTTCTTCGAACATCATGGTGGGGGAACCCCCCCCCCAACCCACCCGCTACTGTTTAGATTGGTTGCAGAGAAATTGCACCCCCTGTTTGAATCAACACTTCTTCAAACATCATGGGGGGGGGCGGCAGCCCCCCCCCCCCCAACCCCCCCGCTACTTTTTAGATTTCTTGCAGAGATTGAATTGCACCCCTATTTGAATCATCACTTTTTTGAGCGTCCAATTTTGCGAGAAATTGCAGCAAAATACGACATTTTAGGTAATATGTGTAATCCATGTATGTCTGTATGTATGCACTTCTTCGAACATCATAGGGGAAGCCACCAACACTCCCGCTGCCTTTCAAATTCTATCGCACCCTTTCGTGAATCATTGCACCCCTACTTGAATCATCACTTCTTCCGACATAATGGGGGGGGCTGCCGCCCCCCCCCCCCAACCCCCCCTCTACGTTTTAGATTTTCTTTGCACCCCTAGTTGAATCATCAATTCTTCGAACATCATGGGGCGGGC